CTTTCTTTCTTTCTTTCTTTCTTTCTTTCTTTCTTTCTTTCTTTCTTTCTTTCTTTCTTTCTTTTCTTCTCTTTTCTTTTCTTTTTTTTTGCGGAACTGGGTATAGAACTCAGGCCCTTGTGCTTGCCAGGGAAGCACTTATTCTACTGAGCCATCTCCCCGGCTCCCCCCCTTTTTTTTTACACTTCCAATTTCAACCCCTCTGCACACAAGCTTGGGTGGAATTTCTGGGTCCTACCTTAATTCTGTTGCTACATTTTTGCAGAGCTGTCCTACTGTTTTGTATAGTAGTCACACCACTTGTACAGTCCCAGCACAGCGCCACTGAGGTCCTAGCCTTACATCTTCGCCAACACTTCCCATCTTCTGCTTCTTTTTATTGCAATAAAACTCATCCTAATGGGCACGGCAAGCTTTGCTCTTTGTGATGGGACTGGGGAGAGAAACAGCATTGTAAAATATTTTTATTTTTGTCTTATTTATTTATTTTTGGCAGTACTGGGGATTGAACTCAGGCCCTTGCCCTTGCCAGGCAAGTAGTTATTCTACTGAGCCATCTCCTCAGCCCCCAGCATTCCAAAGTATGACCCATTCACCAGCCCATCCATCCACCCATCTACCCATCCATCGTCCACCCACCCATCCACCCACCCATCCAGATCTCCGTAGTCTTTTACCCTTGCAAACCTCATCCATAGGGGCCAGAGAGGTAGCTCAATAGAATAAATGCTTGCCTCGCAAGTACGAGGGCCTGAGTTCAATCCCCGGTTCAAAAAAAAAAAAAAAAATTCCTATCCATAAATTCATTCCCACAGCCCTATAGTCGCCCCCTTGCCCTCCTTTTTGTTTTTCCCTCAACCTACTGAACACCCCTCCATCCCACCCTAGCCTACCCTTCTAAAAATGTGCTTAGGGGCTGGGGATTTGGCTTAGTAGTAGAACACTTACCCAGCAATCTGGCAGCCCTGGGTTTGGTCCTCAGCACCAGAAACAAAACATAAAAATGTACTCAGTGTCTTCTATATGCTGGAACATTGCGAGATGCTGAGAAATGAATGGAACACACGTCCTACCAGGTCCATGGTTATAACAGGGAAAGAAAGAACCCAACTAGTCAGGTGTGGTGGTGCACACCCGTAATCCTGGCACTGCCACAGTTCAAGGCCAGCCTGGACTACATAGTGGGTTCAAGGCCAGTGTGAGCTACATCCTCAGACCCTGTCTCAAAAAATTAAAAAAAAAATTGAAACTAACAATTAGGAGAGTAACAGGCGCAATGAAACCTTTAATTTTCTGCTGTCTGGGTCTCAGTTTCCACATGTGAACAATTTTTAGGAAAGGTTGCGTCCTAGAAGCCCTTGGAGGGGCTCATCCACCCATCGCCTATCTGCCCACCCCTCCATTTGCCCACCATCCACCCACTCATCCAGCCACCCACCCACCCACCCACTCATCCATCCACCCACTCATCCATCCACCCACTCATCCAGCCACCCACTCATCCATCCACCCACTCATCCAGCCACCCACTCATCCATCCACCCACTCATCCATCCACCCACTCATCCAGCCATTATCTGTCTTCCCACTCATCCACCCATCCCTAACCCCTCATCCATCCGCCTATCATCCGCCTATCCACTCATCTACCTACCCACCACCATCCTTCACTCAGGCATCATCTACCCCTCACTCAGGGGTGGTCTGTGATTTCCTGAGGTTTTTCTGACTCTCGCTTTTTTGATTCCCCCTCTTTCTTCTGTTTTGAATGTCCTTTCACTACCCTGGGAGAGCCCTGGGCTTCAGGCTTGGGTTTCTGTTCTGAGGATTAAGGTCATCTGCAAGGCTTCGTTGTCCATGTGGGCTTGTTTTGAATATCATTTTGTTTTGTCCTGGTGACAACTGAGTGAGAATAGGGATATGTGGATAAAAGATTGGCCTCTGGTTAAGAGGGAGGGAATGAGATCAAAATGAATGGGTTAAGGGGTCGGGGAGATAGCTCGGTAGAATAAGTGCTTGCCTGGAAAGTGCATGGGCCTGCGTTCAATCCCTGATTGTGCAAAACAAACAAACAAACAAACAAAGAAAAGAATGGGTTAGTTCTGGTTGGGTGGAGGGTGGATTGGATGGGTGAGTGAGGGGCGGATGATGGCTGAGTGAAAGATGTTAAGTAGGTAGGTAGATGAGTGGATAGGTGGATGATAGGTGGATGGGGTTAGGGATGGGTAGATGAGTGGGCAGATAGATGATGGCTGAATGGGTGGGTGGGTGGATGGCTGGGTGAGTGGGTGGATGGTGGGCAAATGGATGGATGGGTGGGCAGATGGATGATGGATGGATGAATGGGTGGGTGGATGGCTGGGTGAGTGGGTGGATGGTGGGCAAATGGATGGATGGTTAGGCAAGGTGGACGATGGATGGATGAATGGGTGGGTGGATGAGTGGGTGGGT